TCAAGGACGAGAATTGCAAGTGCAAATCAAGTTATTTCTACACATTCATGGCTTCCACAACGTGTCCATGTTGATCATATGGTGGGGATTGTCGATCATGACTTATGAACTCCCACAGGTTACCTCCCCTGTGTGGGCTACACTCTGCATTGTATGGGTGGCATATTGTCTGTCCACAAGGAGGTTGTACCCTGGAGAGCAAAGTTTGTGGATGTGGCTTCAAATTGGCTACACAAACTGTGAAGCCACCTCCACAAACTTTGCTCTCCGGGGTACAACCTCCTTGTGGACGGACAATATGCCACCCATACAACCCAGAGTGTAGCCCACACAGGGGAGGTAACCTGTGGGAGTTCATAAGTCATGATCGACAATCCCCACCATATGATCAACATGGACACGTTGTGGAAGCCATGAATGTGTAGAAATAACTTGATTTGCACTCGCACTCCTCGTCCTTGATGATCCTTGTAATCCAATTTTTGTTGGGGTTCTTCCCCAAATCAAACCACCTCAACTTGGGATAAGAATTTTCCAACAACGGGTTTCTCATGGACGGAGGTACCAAATCCTTAACCTGCACTGCGCAATCCGAAAAACAGTAACAATGTCCAGCTTCGTGTCCAACCGCCTTGACAAATATGTCTGGGTTAAGTGTAATAGTCCACATCAAGGCAACCACTGCAAGAAAGACATTGATTTCCAGTGCTTTAAGGGAAAGTTTCATGGGAAAAATGGTTCCGGCCAACGTTGTTGTTAGCGTCGTCGTTATTTTTGTTCGGGTTGTTGTCCCTGCCATTGTTGTTCAGGTTATTATCGTCGCCCCCACTATTGTTCAGGATGTTGTTGCAACTACCATTCTTGTTCAGGTTGTTGGTGCTGCTGCCATTGTTGTTCAGGTTGTTGCCGTTTGAAGTGATAGCAATAAGCTCTATTTTTGGCGAGGAGGTTGCAGTGGGAGTCATATAGGAACAAGGAGAATGCATTGTTTTCTCTTTTTTGTTTGTAGCTTGGTGTCGGTGATGGAAGATGACGATTCTAAGCGGCTGGATCTCAAGGGTTAAATGTTGGGGTATGAGTCATGTAGGAAGGCGGGAAAACCTTTTTTTCTCATTTTTGTTTGTAGCTTGTTCTTTTTTCTCATTTTTGTTTGTAGCTTGTTGCCAGTGGTGGAAGATGATGGTTCTATGCAGTTGGGGGAGGAGTCAGGTAAGAGGATGGAGAGAAATACTTTCCTGTTTTTGTTCGGAGTTCTCTATAAGGAGGATAGCTAATATAGATTATTATATAAATAAAAAGTTCACGATCTTAATTCTAGTGCAGCTTATAGAAGTCTACTAGTGTAGCTTATAAAAGTCTACTAGCTAGGCTTCCAACCTCACGATCTTAATTCTCGCAAATGGACTTAAATATTTACACATTATTTCTAATAATGGACGTAATAAAATTTAGTGACACACCCCGACCCATAATGTCCACCTGGACTCAAAATTGAGCTCTGCTGGCCAACACCAGAAAGGTGACGAAGCCATAAAGTGTAGTGATGTGAAAAATGTGAATAATTTAGACTGCGCATGTGAGCGGGATTGAACCCATATCACACAAGTGATGTCAGAGCATAGATAAATTAAAGTAAAAGACGAGTAAGGACATTTATACCAAAAGGAAAAGTCTCCTACGTAACAGCTTTTGCCATCAATTCTCGTCGTCACAAAACCTCTACCACTAAAATCCTGGAGGGGTGAAAAATAAGGATGAGTGAGCCTGAAAATAAAGTTTTGTAAAACCTTTTCGAAAAGTGTAACCCCTCGCTGTAAAATAAGTATATGGTTTTCCAAAAATATTATAATAATAGTATGTAGTAGATACCCTATAGCAGAAGTGAGTCAAAAGTGTAAGGCAGAACAACAAGGTATTATAAACCATAAATCAATGCGCATTAATTATGAAGGCACACAAGTCCATTGCAGAGGTATTCAAACAATGGAATAGGTTGGGTGTAGGTATTACATTCTAGTACCCCCGACCCGAAATGTCCATTCAACTAAGTAAGATTTTTGTTCGGCTGATGCATTAGTCATGTTGGCTTTAGCCTTCATTGCCCTTGATGATCAACTTACTCTCTAGTCTAACATTTAATAATTGGATCCACTACTAGGTTGACTATATTTAATGGTGCACAAAATCCATATTGAAATTTTATTTCATATGAGAGTAGTTGTTTTCCAATGTTAAGTCCTAGAAACATATGTTAGGGCTTACACAATAATTTGCCAGGAAGTAGACTTTCCCGTATTTATGATATTGTAAGAAGGTCTCTAACCTTGCCATACTCAAACAATTATTCATTTACAATAGACGACATCTTGCAAGATATATTTCCATTTTTCTTAAGTAAATCTCATATCTCAAAGATAGCTAAGTTACCCCCACAATTCTTCCATAATTGTGGTTCATTTTTAATGTTATCCTTAAATTGATCATAATTTGTAGTTTAATAATTAGGAATTGATTAAGAAACAGAGTCTTATCTATCTTCTTAGGCCTTAATACCTCACTACTCAGTTCTACAGGCAAAGCGCTTCTTGGCTTTCATTCGTTAGCCTACTTTCAAATTGTCACGGATCTAGAACCCTCAAAAATGGAATGTCATCCCCTTTTGAGTTTAGGCTTTACCACGACGGCACACATCTCCGTCGGTTAAAACTTTTCTTATTTGGCGCCAAAAATTTACATGACGAATCTTTTCATCACCTACGAACTATTTTCGTTGTATAAGAACTTTCAGTCAACCCAGGTTGCTGACTTATTTTGCCCTACCACCTGCAAAGTCCATCGTGTAAGTTAGATTTAGCCGACGAGATTTGTTCCGTTGCTTAAAAAGTCGTAAGAAAAGCTCAAATTTCTGGTAGTGCTTGATTTTATATGATTTCAAGAATTTTTGAGAAGTTGCAATGTTTCATAGTAAAAGGAGAAATTTCATAGGCATGCGATTAACCCTGATAACACAATGTCTTGCTTTTGGTTTCTTTTTGGATAAAAAGGCAGCCTTCTTCGTTGTCTTTTATGGTTTATTTAGAAGTGCTTCTGCTCATTAATATTTTTATTGAAAGCACTTTAAAAACAAAACATTGTACCCAACAACTTTAGAGAAGTATTTTAGTTCATCTTAAAGTTTACTTATGATATTCCATATTTTTGTACTTATTTGCAGTTATCTTATGTGGAGGTGTGTTTCCTTAAGACGAGACAAAAATGAATTATAATTTATAACAATATGAAGTTTATTTCAGTACAAAATTAGTCCCAAGTTGGGACTGCAACTTTTTATGACTTGAAAGAGCTTATTCCATTATAGAGTATTACTCGAGAGATGTTTTACTGTAATCTCTGTTGTTACAGTAATAAATAATAAAGTAATTATCTCCTTAATTTAGCTATGGCAGTATAGCTCCTCTGCACACAGAAATTCAAATCCTTTATCCAGAGTTTAGAACTTTATACATCAAGCTATGAAAAGAAAATATGAAGAATTTGAGTGGACAATATATGCCTGATTATTTTTTCTGTCTGCCAACAAGTTATAATTCCTAATTTATTATCTGTGACTTGCTGTAAACTATATATGCAAAATCACTAGAGTAGAAAAAACAGAAGAAACATGAATGAACTGCAGTTTTTTCAATCTGCTGTTTGGTTTCTAAATCAACATGCATTGATGATCGGGTTGGTGAACGTAATTTTAAAGTTGTACAATTATAACGTGAAGAAGCTAAATTTTTTTTTCTTCTTATTTCTTTATAGTTATGTTCACTACTTATGTGCATCAACTCAAAACACAACAAATTAGTAAACCATGCAGTTAGAATTGAGATGGATCAATGATATTGTCACATGATTGTTTACGGGATAGACTCTAGTTTTCTCCATAAACACAACCCTAATTTCCCTTTAATTTGCATTTTTATTGCCATCTATGGATCTTGCATCTAGAAAATAATAAATACGCACATTTTTCACGCTCAAACACAAGCTTGTTAATTTGTTGTTCTCGTATGATTTATTTTATCCGACAATCAAAATAAATAAAGAATATGTGATAAGTTGAAAATGATGCGTGAAAATCATATTTCTTACACCTAATAGTCACCAAAAATATGGTTGTTATCAGAAAAATGCTAAAAAGAAACATTTTATTTCTGATTTATACAGAATGCGTGTTCCCAAGCTACTATTCCATCAACACTTCATCTTTTAACTGCAAATCGTTCATGAATAAAGCAGTGTACAAATGTAGTTATGTCATCAAATAATCACAATTTGAGGAGAGAAATTGGTCTGAGGATAACAAAAAAAATCAAAATATATAAATAAATGTAAAATCATCAAACAATTTGAGGAGAGAAATTGGTCTGGGGATAAAAAAAAAAATCAAAATATATAAATAAATGTAAACTCATCAAACAATCACAATACCGCATGTGACAGTGACACAGTCACATATGGTCCAAAAATCATCAAAACCACCATATTATTATCAAATATAAAAATAACGAAGACCTTGTTTGGGAAAAACCTAATTTATTGAGATTCAGACTGGAAGAAGGATTAGCTAGGAAGTTTCGTAACTAAGCTAGCTAGGGTCTGAGCCTGGTTGCAGAAAAAAAATGATCCGCGTTTAATGCACGTGTACGAGAGAAAAATGATTCGTTATTTTTCTGTTTCTCCATTGGTGGCCTTGGGCTGTGTGCCACGTGGGGCTCACCCGCCATTCCTCCACCCCTCTCCCGTGAGAAAATTTTTCCATGTGCCGGGAACACCATGGTGTTCCCTCACACATTAGGATTTAGTTTTTTATATTTATTGAAATATAAAATTAAAGGATATTCAAAATGTCAAATCCTGATGTGTGAGGGAACACCATGTGTCATGGTGTTCCCGGCACTTGGAAAAATTTCTCCTCTCCCGTGTCCCCTCCATTATTTCTGGCACCTCTCCTCGGCTGCCACATTATCATTTCCCTTCCCTCTCCTTTAGTTATCTGCTCCCCAACACTCATCCTTCTATGTAAAGCCGAGGAGGCCGGGAAGCCAAGTTCAGACTCCGGTGAGTCCTCAGGCCACCACACCACCACGTTTCAATCTCTCTCCCCTTCTTATATTTTCTCCATTCCACTGTCGATGCACGCCTGCACAGAAACATTGACCATTGCACACAACAGTAGCACACCTAACCTTGCTAACTCCGGCGAGTTTACGGTTTTCCGACCAAGGGTAAGCCTCGTGAGCCCTCAACCTCAAATCTTATTGTTTTTGGAATTTCTGATAAGGTCTTTAAACTTCAAAGTGCAATTTGAAAGAGTTCATACAGAAAAACATCTCGGGGAAAAGATCCCCAGATTTTAAGCAAGGAACCGTGGCCATCCGACCACTTTCAAGACGTTTTTCCGGCGAGCTCCGACTGTGTCTCGGCCCCGCTCCGGTATAGATATATTCTCTGTACTTACTACTTCAAAGTGGCTTTTGAATCATCAAGTTCGGTTAAGTATCAAATTAGAAATTAGCTCTGATAATTGGGATGAAATTCTCCAGATTTCCGGCAAGAACTCATGACCATTTGGCCAGTTTCAGACCACTTTTCCGGCGAACTCCGATTATAACACGGCCTCAAATGGGTATAGACCTATTCCCTACACTTCTAGCTTCATTAGCTTATTGTATTATTGATTTTGGTTGAGAATCAAGCTCGATATATACAAATATATATATATGTATATGTTTAGTTTCCATACATACATCTACTAATAAATCTTTCTATATGACTGCTGTAATTAAATTAACGTTTATGGTAAATGGCCTAACGATGAGAATTAGTAAATCATTATAAATCTTACAGAATGCTTTAGCTAAATTTGTGGCTATGAATAATGATATATTGATTAGAATTATCGAATTACTATGACATGATTATGTTTACGATATCTGCTCATCGTTTGCTGCACCGGTGTTAGTACTCGCCCAGGCCAGGGCTAGTCTTTAATGTGTATGTGCACATTGCACCGTAGGTTCACTTTGGATCCTAGATTGCTATAGACAATTAGGACTCGTATGTGTTGCGCGTAGCACCAGCATTCATGTGATTGTAGTACTAGAGCGTATATCATTGTTACACCCAGTTTTGTTCATATAAGAATATCTCTGCATGAATTTGTGTGTCAGCATGTGTCGATGAACACTTGCTATGATATGATTGCTTATGCGAGATTATGTGATTACGGATGTCATATGTTATTTATGAAACATTATGCCATATTAAATTCTTGAGATCTTGCAAGCTACAGTAAGTATTCTCTTACTATACGTAGTATGTATATTTTGGAATATACTTGTTTTACGCAAAGGGTTATTATGTTTTCGAAAAGGTTTTTACAAAGCTTTATTTTCAGGCACACTCACCCTTCTTTTTCGCCCTTCCAGGTTTTAGCAGCTGAACTTTCGTATTGACGAGAATTCTTGGCAAATATCAATATAGGTGGCTACCTTCCATGGTATAATTCTCATCATACTTTACTTATGCTCTAACATCACATGTGAAAAGGTTCATTCCCGCTCACTCTTGTATTTAGGTACTTTTAAGTTTAAATTTATTCACGTTTTCCACATCACTACACTTTATGGTTTCATCACCCTCCTGTTGTTAGTCATCACAGCTCGATTTGGAGTCCTGGTGGACATTTCGGGTCGGGGTGTGTCACTAAATTTTATTACGTCCATTATTAGAAATAATTTGTAAATATTTAATTTCATTTGCAAGAATCAAGATTGTGAGGTTGGAAGCCTAGCTAGTAGACTTGTATAAACTATACTAGAATCGAAATAATTGTAACTATTTATTTTTATAATAATCTATATTAGCTACCCTTTTTATAGAGAACTCCGAACAAAAACAGGAAAGTGTTTCTTTCCATCCTCTTACCTGACTCCTCCCCTAACCCCTAGAGTCAGCTGCTTAGAACCGTCATCTTCCTCCACTAGCAACAAGCTACAAACAAAAATGAGAAAAAAAAAAAGTCTTCCCCGCCTTCCTACATGACTCTCATCCCAACATTTAACCCTTGTGATCTAGGCGCTTAGAATCGTCCTTTTCTACCACCGACACCAAGCTACAAACAAAAAGAGAAAACAATGCATTCTCATTGTTCCTACATGACTCCCACTGCAACTTCATCGCCAAAAATATAGCTTATTACTAGCACTTCAATCAGTGACAACCCGAACAACACTGCAATCGATGACAACCAGACAACAATGGCGGCAGCGGCAATGACCCAAATAATAATGGGGGTAGTGGGAACAACCTAAACAACAATGGTGGCGATAGTAACAACCTGAATAACAATGGCAGCAACACCAACAACCTGAACAACAATGGCAATCGCGGCAACATCTTGAACAACAATAGGGGCGGCAGCAACGACCCAAAAAACAATAGGGGCGGCAGCAACAACCTGAACAACAATGGCAGCGATAACAACTCGAACAACAATAACAACTTTGGCCACAACCATTTCTCCCATGAAACTTTCCCTTAAAGCATTGGAAATCAACGTCTTTCTTGCAGTGGTTGCCTTAATGTGGATTATTACAGTCAACCCAGACATATTTGTCAAGATGGTTGAACACGAAGTTGGACACTGTTACTGTATTTTGGATTGCGAGTGTAGGTTGAGGATTTGGTACCTCCATCCGTGCGAAACCCGTCGTTGGAAAACTCTTGTCCTTAGTTGAGGTGGTTCGATTCAGGGAAGAACCCCAACAAAAAGTGGATTACAAGGATCATCAAGGGCGAGGAGTGCGAGGCCAAATCAAGTTATTTCTACACATTTATGGCTTTCTGCAATGTGTCCATGCTGATCATATGGTGGGGATTGTTGATCATGACTTATGAACTCCCACAGGTTACCTACCCTATGTGGGCTACACTCTGGGTTGTATGGATGACATATTGTATGTCCACAAGGAGGTTGTACCCCGGAGAGCAAAGTTTGTGGAGGTGGCTTCAAATTGGCTACACTGCGCTCCTCATTCTCTTTTTATTTCTGAGGTTGGTCCTATCTGACAAGTGGAAAAGTTGCGTATGTCATGCCAACAAAATATGGCAAGATGAGTGTAAATCTTTCCAGAACTGGTTGAAAGAAAAGTGTGGAGGAAATGAGGATGCATAAGCGATGATGGCTTTAGTCTAGCCATTAATTAAGGGTAATATTTATAACTGGTTATCCAATCCCTCTATTAGCACCTAAGATATGCACAATTTTACATATTTGGGCCTAAAGCCAAAATATGACATTTTGAGGATTGTTGTGTAAATAGGCTAACTTGTAAGATATTTGGCTACGTCAAGTGGGATAGTTTGACATTAAAATAATGCTTTTCCCTTTTGTTTAGGTGGTGGAGATGTGCCTAATGCTTTGTTTAATTAAGACAATTGCATAGCATGCCCACGAGGCCCATGGCAAATTTAGGGGGCGAACATTAATCTGGACCTCCTCGTTGAGGGCTGTTTGTAATCATTGTTTGCGGTTGATTGTTTTGGAACTCTTGGACCCCTTTATTGAATGTGCTATCAGTTTAAGTAATTAAAAAAAAAAAAAAGGGATTTTATTGATCATGCAAGGTTGGAGCTTGTTTCCAAGGGATCGGACAAGTTGCTTTAGTCTTGTGGCAATTTCTAGTGGTTTAGGGAATGACTTCAAAGGTTGAAATGAAAATACAAAGGAAATCAATATTGTCGAGTGAGCAGATTACTTGCAAAAGCCTTGTATTTCCTTTTAAAAGTTATGCTGCTCACTCGACAATATTGATTTTCTTTGTATTTTCATTTCAACCTTTAAAGTCATTCCCTAAACAACTAGAAATTGCCACAAGACTAAAGCAACTTGTCTGATCCCCTTGGGAACAAGCTCCAACCTTGCATGATCAATAAAATCCTATATTTAATTTGAGACCAAAACCCTTTTTTTTTTTACTTTTTTTTTTTTTTTTGAGTTAAACTGATAGAACATTCAATAAAGGGGTCAGAACATTGATAAAAACCAAGAGTTCCAAAACAATCAACCCCAAACAATGATTACAAACAGTCCTTAACGAGGAGGTCCATATTAAAACTAGTGGGTGTTCGCCCCCTAAATTTGCCATGGGGCTCACGGGCATGCTATGCAATTGTTTTGATTAAACAAAGCATTTGACACATCTCCACCACCTAAACGAAAAGGAAAAGCATTATATTAATGTCAAACCATCCCATTTGATGTAGCCAAATATCTTACAAGTTAGTATATTTACACAATAATCCTCAAATGCCATATTTTGGCTTTAGGCCTAAATATGTAAAATTGTGCATATTTTAGGTGCAAACAGGGGAATTGAATAATCATTAATAAATAGTACCCTTAACTAATGCCTAGACTAAAGCCATCATCACTTATGCCTCCTCATTGCCTCCACACTTTGCTTTCAACCAGTCCTGGAAAGATTTACACTCATCTTGCTATATTTTGTTGGCATGACATATGCAACTTTTTCACTTATCAGATAGGCCCACTTCATAAACAAAAAGAGAATGAGGAGTGCAGTGTAACCAATTTGAAGCCACATCCACAAACTTTGCTCTCCGGGGTACAACCTTCTTATGGATAAACAATATGCCGCCCATACAACCTAGAGTGTAGCCCATACATAGAAGGTAACTTGTGGGAGTTCATAAGTCATGATCAACAATCTCCACCATATGATCAACATGGACGCATTGCAGAAAGCCATTAATGTGTAGAAATAACTTGATTTGCACTCGCACTCCTTGTACTTGGTGATCCTTGTAATCCATTTTTTGTTGGGGTTCTTCCCCGAATCAAACCACCTCAACTCAGGACGAGAGTTTTCCAACGACGGGTTTCACATGGACGGAGGTACCAAATCCTCAACCTGCACTGCGCAATCCGGAAAATAGTAACAGTGTCCAACTTCGTGTTCGACCGTCTTGACGATTATGTCTGGGTTAAGTGTAATAGTCCACATTAAGGCAACCACTACAAGAAAGACGTTGATTTTCAGTGCTTTAAGGGAAAGTTTCATGGGAAAAATGGTTACAGCCAACATTGCCATTGTTTTTAGCATTGTCGTTATTGTTGTCACCATGATGACGCCATGTCAAGTGTTTATGTTAAAAATGAAGAATACGCAATTAAATATGAATTTTTTCCTCTAATAATATGCATGGACGTCATTCCATTTCATTGTTCGTTGTTCCTAATATCATCCTGGCCATTTCCTATATTGATCTATATAGATAGGCAACAAATGATTTGGCACTACATGGAATGAAGTCTTTAGAATTTTTTTTTTCTTGAAGAAAACTCGATATTTTATTGAAAACAAATGCACCACATTAGATCTTAGCTGAGGAGGTCCTGAATGAGATCAGGAGAGTACTCTAACCATACAAATTCATTGCCAATTGAAATGGCAAACTTAGTTAATATATAGGCAACCCCATTACATGTTCTTAGGCATATGCACAAACTAGACTGAGGAAAGCAACTCCGCCACTTGCCTGACATCCTCCGCTAGCAAACCAAACTTGGACAAATCCGGAGAATAGTTATTGATAGCAGCAATAACAAGAGTGGAATCACTCTCCACAATAACATGTCGAACCTGCAATCTCCCCGCCAACCGAAGGCCCTCCAAAACTGCCTCAAACTCCGCATAAAGAGCAGACCCAATACCCTCCTTCCTTTAAGTTGCCACTGATAAAAACTTCACCGTCTCATCCCTCAACACAGCTCCCACTCCCCCAGAAAAATGCTCCAACCGTGTGGCCCCATCAACATTGATTTTGACCCATCCATCAGATAGGGTCAACCATTTGAGTTGAGGAACTGGCCTGGAGACCCTCTGTACTTCATGGGTTACCAATAATGCCTGATACCAGCACACCACCTTATGCACTACCTCTATAGATTGTCCACGTTGCCCATCCCATACTAAGGAGTGACGAGCTTGCCACAAACCCTAGATTACCATGCAAACAAGATCAAACTTGGTTATTTGATTTTTAACTACTAAAATGAGCCATTTTCGCATCAACGCTCCTGGCTCTGGTAATATACCAGCCCTCAACGAAGACCCCAACCACACAGCTTTCACAAACACACATTCCCAGAACATATGCCCATCCGTTTCTAGATGCCCCAAACGCACCCCACACTCCATATCAAGGTACATCCCTTCCGACGTAGACGTACACGCCATGTGAGATTGCACCAACTCCATAGCCACCAGATAGCCATTGCTAATAGTATACTCACCCAGAGAATTATAATGCCACATTAACTGATCTAGCGGTAAGTGAAAACTATCGGCATAGTACAAATCAAACCCACATCCTCATTCGAAAACAAATCTTGTAACTCATCCAATTTCCACGAGTAAGACTCTATATCAATTAGCTCATGGAAAAACATATCCACCTAATCAGCAGCAGCAATAGACAGAACTTTGAAATAGTGAGGTCTTGGTAGCCATCTATCCTTCCACACCTTAATAGACTCACCATTCCCAACAACCCATCTAGAACCACGGATCAACACCTCCCGAGCTTGTAAAATACTAGACCAGTAATATGAACAGCTCTTCGGAACGGGTGCTTCCCAAAAAGAAACCGTGGGAAAATAATGAGCCTGGAAAAGCTGAGCCACCAAAGAACCAGGTTGCTTGAAAGTACGCCACCCCTGCTTAGGCAAAACCGCTAGATTAAATGCAAATAAGTCCCGAAAGCCTATTCCCCCCCGCCTCATCCTTCGGTTTGCGAAGCTTTTCCCAAGACCACCAATGTATCTTCCTCGCATTCGGATCAC